TAACTATTCATATATGAATTGCTTTAAAATATATTCTGCTTTAAAATATGTTCTGGCATTATTTGATTATTTATAAAACAATTCCTTAATCTAAAAAGTGTTTTCACACAAGTAGCTCTGCTAAAGTATTTGAAAGACGAGTCATAGCCCATAATTTCTATTAACGGGAGGGAGATAGAACTAATTTTCCTGCATGTACATCCAAATCTTCAGAGAAGAGTCAAGAAACCTACTTAAATATGTTGGTTTATGTTTAAACATATTTTAATTCATTGAACAAAAGTCAAATGGATGACTCAGTCAGGTTCCATTCCAGTAAATGCTTGTGGGAAGAACTTTAGGCTTGATGTTGTATATGACAAGTCCAAAAATGGTATGAACCATTTCAGATGAACAGCACATGAAAATCATTGCAGAAATAAACAATTTGGCCAGGAGAATAGGGAAAGTAAGTTTCAAGGACTTAGGGGAGGAGTACATCAACATTTTAACTGATAGACAGCATGATTACTAGTGATAGACAGGCATTTGAAGCACTTGAAGATAAGGACAAGTTAAAGAAGAATCTAGCTAAGAGTAAAGAAGGCAATGAATGATGCCTGCAAATTTCTACAAATATAATTCATGCAATGAAATTCAAAGAAGTCCTTGACAATATTTTAATACTATACACAAGCCATGTTCAATGAGTTCACACAAAAGAAGCATTGGCTTCCAATCACAATGTTCTTGAGAAGGACAACTATTACATAACTTAAAATTGTTATCCCTGAACTGGAAACCTTGATGTCTTCTAATCCTTTTTCAGCCTCTGAGACCCCTATAGCTGAATCCTGTGGAAAGTTGCCTGCTACATGTTATAAAATGTTAATATAGTATTTTTAGAATCAGAGGTTCAAAATGCTATTATTATAAAACATAATTTAAATAATTTAAAATATATTTAAACATTTTTCTGCTAAGTATCAATGATTATGTAAGGTGAGGGTACAGATTTTCAGGGAATTTTATGTGTTTTGCAGGACATGTTGACATATAACTTGTGTGAATACAGAAATTGTACTGCTTAACATATATTAGAAGCAAATTTGTTTGGATTCAAATTATAGATGCTCTATTTGCTTCTTAATACAGAATACAACTAAATGTAGCTTAAGATGTTACTGTATACACAGTACAGTGTACAGTGAGAGATTAGTAATTGGAGGACTTAAATTCAATCATGTTAACTTTAAGTCACATTCCCTAAGCCCTATCTACCTCACAGAACTGTTCTTTTGGAGTGGGAAATTGAAGGATAAAGTGATATGCATACCATAATTAGCTACTTAAGAAAAGATGATATACAGATAAATACAAATAAAATCAAATTCCTAATTATAAACTATTACTTTCGAGTTATAAATTTCACAATTGCATTTTGACTGCGCTTTTCCAGATATAAATGGACTTATTCAAACTACATGAAATTCTCTATTCTATCTCTAACAATCTTTAAACAGTGTTCGGTTCTATCAACTTTATTTCTTTAAATTGCAATCAATTCTCTGCACATTAATGAAATTTAACCTGTTTTTAAATTTTGTTTGATTTACATTATTTTTTCTTTTGAGATGTCTAGTCAGCATCCATAACACTTTCTCCTGAAAGATGTATCTGTGAGGCATATCAAAGCCACTGCAGTACAGCACATAAATTATGCCTACAGTATGCCAGTTCAAGTAATTTTTAATTTATGTTCACTTGATCCCTTTCAGCCAGTTGCCATCTCTCGGTCCAAGCAAACAAACATAGCTTTTGACTTGATATACATGATTATGAATGTATGTATTATGAATGCAGTATGAATGAGTTCAATGTACTTATTTCTAAGAAAAAATAACTGTAACCATTTAATAATTGTTTTCATTACCCTGATTAAATATTTTTTTCTGACTGAGTAGTATAATCAATTATATTTTTTTAGGGCAAAAAATCTAATTGTGACAAGGAGAAGTAATTTTCTTACATATCAGGGTTTTTTTTAAATCCAGAATTAATTCCAGAATTCCAATCCTCAAAATAGCAATCATAGTGAGAACCATAGTTCTTTTCTTTTTTTAAAAAAAAACAAGCCCCATTTCTTCTGTTGTATATTGGAAAAATTACCTTTGTTGTGATTTCCCCCCTCATTAGTCTCTCATAGAACCCTAACATTTTGCAGAACATAGTGTGAAATATTCTATTGTAAATAAAACCAAATCAGAAATCTGTCAAAAATATTGATAGCCTAAGTAAGCAAAATGTCATTCATTTTAAAAAATAGTAAAATGTCTTATATGCTCGCAAAAAAAAAAAAAAGAAAAAGAAAGAAAAGCTAATAAAAAATACCAAATGATTATTTTTATATTATTGAGATAAAACATTAGCATAGATACCTAGGATGCTAATAATTTCATGTAGTCCTCCACTTACGACTGGTTCTTAAAAACCATTTGAAATTACAGCAGCCCTGGAATGGTAGTTTTATTGCTCGTAAAGCAGTTCAGCTATTGTAAAATGTTGTGCCACTCCCACATTTCAAGTGCTTGATGACCAATTCACCTTTCTGACCAGTTGCAGCATCCTGCATTCACGTGACCATGATTTGTAAAGTTTTTTGCCAGTTTCCACTCATTCGGAAGAATGGGTTTGCACTTATGCCTGTAGATTTACTTAATAACCATGGTGATTCACTTAAGAATCACAGCAAAAAATGTCATAAAATCAAGTCCTGTCATGTGTGCCTTGACTTATGACTGTAAAGACAAGACATATGACCAAAAACCCAGTTCCAATTGAAGTCGTAAGTTGAGAACTACCTATATGATGGTGATAAAGAAAGAACTCCTTTAGTATCTTATGTAAAAAAAATTATTTTCCTGGAATCATGTGGCTACTGCAAGTTAACTGATAACAGCAGATAAGGAGTAATTTTAGAATTATGGACAATTTTAGCAAATCAAGTTTTTTAAAGTGTTTTTGATCTGCAATCTTTTATAAGCCCTGAGTATTCAATTTGTACAAAAAACTATGGTATAAAGTTAAACAATCTGGTAAATGTCAGTAATCTTACACAATATTCCTAGAAAAGCAATTCTATTGAACACAATTTGTAAAAAACATAGTATCGCTGCTAAATCTAATTCTGGGTCCAGTTATATTTCCACCTGAAATGTAGGAATATAAAAAAAATATAGAAGGAGTATTATTTAGTCAACATATTTTTCTTAAAAATAACATTAATATACTTCTTAGAACATTGTGGGCCTCAAACCAAAGTCCTGCTTTTTTTCCAATGAAGATTTCTGTGCAACAACTGGAATTTTTCTTCATAAACAAGAGTAAACTTCCCTGCCAACAACTATTTGCTTTTATCTAATCACTGGATGCATGTCTGCTTGCTTATTTTCTGCTTCTATCTTCAGATATGTTCCATACTTTTACACACACACACACACACACAATCAATTTTAAAAATATAAAAAAAAAACTACAGAAATTTAAGCAAACAGCAAATCACACAAAAGAGACATCTCCTCAGTATCCACAATCCATCCAAAGGATTAAAACAATTAATAATATACAATTCAGAAAACCAAGAAAGTGCTACAAAATCTGTGCAACATTATGCATATTTTACAGTATCTGAACTATTTTCCCTTCAGCACAATGTTGTCAGATTAGGTAATCTCTGAATGAGAAAGAGATCATGGCTATGCACATTCTCCATTAAAAGAACAACCCTGAATAAATAATTTGAACTTTTTATTTGAAAAAAAATTCCATAGCATATTTTCTGCTATTCCTTGCAGGTTGTTATATTGCAGAAGTTGCTAGCTATTAATTGACACATAACTGATTCATACTAAATTCTAGCTCTGGTTTCTTCAATATACTGTGATTTCAATGAGAATCTTTTTTGGTATCGCTACTCACCTGTCTCCTGATTTTTTAAAATATTACTTAACTGAACGGCTAGCATGCTGTAAAATAAATCAAACATCTTTCACATAAGAAATGCCTCACAGCCTTATTTGAGCCTTAAAACCACTATTGAAGAAACTGCTTAAGAGCTAAAGTCAAATATTATGTCTAACGTGTACAAATCCACCAAGAGGATGGTGATAGGGAACATTTCTAAGAGCTAAGACAGACAGATTTTCCCCTGCATTCTATCTGTATGAATTTTACTTATTTCTTTAACATGTTTCATTTTAGCTGCCTAATTTTGGTTTGTGAATTGTAAATTTTCCCTAATTCAACCATCAATGTAAGTATATTGTTTAGTATATGGACATATAAATAGTCCTTACTTATGAACAGAATTAGAACCAGAAATCTGGTTATAAGTTGTTGTGGTCATAAATCGAGGCACCCATGTGACTAGAACTAGCTTCTGGACATGTTTTGCAGGGGTTGTGAAGCAAATCACCATGGTTAAGTGAATCATGCAGACACCAGCAAAAAAGATGCAAATTGTGGTCACGTGACCACAGCATACTGCAACCAGCCGTAAAGGCAAGCCAGCTGTCAAGTTCCCCAAATGCAGCAAAGCAACCAGGGCGGGGGAAGCGATATTTTGTGATGGCTGTAAGTACTTTATGGACTGTAAAGCATCTGTACCTAGGCAAGGACTACCTGTATATGCATACATACACACAACCACACAAACTTCTGAGTTGTTGATCAAGGTTTCCAGATTCTTTCTTTCTCTTTCTTTCTTTCTCTTTCTTTCTTTCTTTTTCCTCCCTCCCTTCCCTCCACTAAAAAGCCATAGTTAACATAATACATGAAAAAATATCTGTTGATTCCATGCATTTTAAACACACAATGGTTCTTAAAAGTTTTTGAATTGAATTTTCAATATTCTGCATAAATGATTTATGTTTTCCACATAAGATCTAAAACTAAATAAAGATAACCCAAGTAACAATGAGTCAAATTGTTCATTTATTTATAGGAAAATAATCCAAACCTACATATTTGTGTGTGGCATAATCAGAAGGGATGACCAACCAGCAAGGTGGATGGACAGTACAGTTGCAATAGGTGCATCAATGGAAGTCTTGAAGGTCCAAGTTGGGGACAGATCCTCTGGAGAAAAACGGTCTGTGTGACTGCTAAAAGTGGATACCAACATGATAGCACATAGTCAATCAAACAGATACAATAATGTAATTTAAAATACTAATCTAAGATATCTACTCTTCTGAATAATACTGACCACCAGGAGGCATCATGTCATCGATTTCATTCTTATTGGGAATTGCCAGTACTAGCATTTTACCCTGAGTAACAGCTAACTAGAAAAGCAAATTACATTTATATAAACTAGGACCATATAAGACCATTTTAATGGGATCCCAAAGGCCTTAGAACTGATTAGATTTTTCTCTATCCAAAGTTGCATGGGAAGATATTATTTAGGGGAAAAAGTTAAATGATACTGCAATGAAATAGCCACCAGTTTGATTAAAAGAAATATACATATCATAATCTGAGATTTGAACTCTTTTGAGTTCTGGTCATTGCGAGACATACAATAAAGATAAAAGTTGTCCTTTAGAGAGGAATCTCCTAGTAGAATATAGGGTGGCATTTTCTGGATCATACTTTCCAGAATAATATGTATTCAAGAGAATGTCAATTATAACAGATAATACATTATTTTATTGTGTCATTTATAAGAGGACACAAACATTAGATATATTTTTTCAAATTTCTTTAGCACATAGAAAATATGTATTTGATAATTTAGGTATGTTCATGGGAATGTGGAAATGAACAAAACACAGAATCTTGCACATTTCCACATGCATGTGCAGAAAATGTGAAATAAACAATGCTGGGGAAGCAGAAAATGAGTGATAAGAAAAGGTACCAAAATTACTTTACTAAAACATATAATTCAATTTCTATCACAAAACAACTTTCATTACGGGAAATATAATGAATGTACAATGCCCATGAAAGCTGCATTTAAACGATGCATATGAAGCTTGAATCACATGAAGATTCATTGCACTGTCAGCCAAATGTTTAGAATGGATCTGGCTTTTTTATCCGCCTATTGAGTCATTCCCAGGGATCTGGAATAGGCAGATGTTGTTTGATCATGTTAAAGTATGGTGGCAGGATATAAACTGTTCCAAATAAAGCTGCCTTTTGAAATCAACTTATTGTGATTTTTGTCAATGCTGAATGATTATCATGTCAGTTCTTTAGTTAGTATTGGCATTCATGTGCAGTAAGTTCTTCTAAAGAATTTAAGATATTGTAATGTATCAGCATAGTGTAGCATGGATCTAAATAGTGTGCCTTTTGTACGTAATTGACAGGTGAAAATTCTGTCAATGCACAAATTCTCTAAGTGTCAGCCAAGATTTTTTGGTATTGCACCCAATATGCCAATAACCACTAGGACCAAAAGGGCCTGCATAAACCATAATCTTTCCACTTTGATTTTCAGGTCTTGATACTGTGCAATCTTCTCCAATTCTTTGTTTTCTATTCTATTATCTGTTAGTATTGCTACATCAATTATCTTCTTTTCAACCAGAGTTAAATCTGGTGTGTTATGAACGAAGATTTTATCAGTTTGTATTTGGAATGCCACAGTATTTTAATCTCATTTTCAATAACTTTTCAATTCTATATCCCTATCAATTTTTCAATGCTGGCACATGATAATTTTTACAGATGTCCCATTTAATCATTTAATGGCTGTGCTATGTTATTATTTTATGGTTGTCAGCCAGATATTTAGACTGGATTTGGCATTTTAGCCACCTTTCAAGTCCTTCCCAAGGACCTGAGATAAGCAGATGTTGTTTGACGGTATTAAAGGCATCATTGTTATTTATTCTTTTCTCTGTTAAAAAGAATAACTGAACTGGAATCTATGATTGAAGAGGAAGTGATATAATGTACCCGTACGTTAGAACTGTAAGAGTTTTAAAAATGTATTTACTTAATCATTTTAAATAGCTGTTAGTTTTACAACGGTGACTGATGACACAAAGAGGATCAAAGCCAAAAGAAACAAAAAATCCCCCAACAACTTAATATACTGTTCAGGGTGAAGCATTGACATGTAAAAACAAGACATCCAAAATACTAACAATAATGTAACATACTCCTGAGTGTAAAAAAATCATCCCATTTTCAATTAATAAGGACAAAAAGAGGCAGATCTACCAATAAGGGCTGATTTAGCTTCTTAACCGAAATACTTGAGTGACATGACACAGTTCAGAATTGAAATCAATAAAATATTGGTAGATATAACTGTACATTGAAAGTAGCCTTTATGAGGGACTTAATTACTAGCCTCCATGCAGGATGCAGTACATACACAAGAAAAATTAATAATATGCAGTATATACTGATTTCATATGGCATGCCATAGTCCTTATTAACATAAGACGCTTGGACACACTAACAAATGAATCTATTCCATTATTGAATTGCTGTAATTTGGGAAGATGGAGTGGTAACATTGGAAAGAGGATTGATATTGGGCAGTGCAAGCAAATAAAACTTTTATTCACTGTATTCTTTCTCAACTTGTGTTTTTTATATTAAACAGAAATTGTAATAAAATACAAAAATAATGCTAAAATAGATTTAAAGTAATATTTTAATGAAAAAAAACCATAATCAATATAACATTAAAACCAGCACCTCCAAAAACATTCATAGAAAGAAAATGTTATAGAATCTTGTCCCCAATAATTCCAGGCCTGCACACCAAACAATATGTTACTTTATGGATATATGTAAGTATTGTTTGCATTCATAATAATATAGTGTAAGAAGGCTTTTCATTATTAGGGCAGTGTGTAGCATTTCTGATTTGATTCTTTAAAAAGTGCTTTGGAGGATGCAGAAACATAAACATGTCTGCAACTTTTTAAAACAGTTGGGCCTTCTGCCAGGTTCACATGGCAACCACAGAAAGCAGGTGCTGCATTTGCACTCCAAAACACCTTTTGGAATTTAATTTGAAGTGAGGCATAGGTTCAGTAACTATCCGGAAACTGTTCTGTCATTAACTCACACCACAGGCAATTTAGCACATTGTATTAAAGCAAGCAATAAAAGAATAAATAATATTTAAATCAACTCTTAATTAAATTATCTAGAATGCAAAATGAAAATATGTCTCCCAAATTTAGATTAATTTTAAATCTGTTAAAGCATCCTTCCACATCATGCCGCCACTGCAGAAAACATTTCACTCATTATGTTAAACTGAAAGAACTAATGTGCCTCCAAATGAACACAGATTATTACAGCAACTGTAATCAATCCAGTTTCTTATCTGGAACAGTTTGCTGGGAAATACAGTCCCACTGATTGTAATATCTCAAAACTGCAGTGCATCTGGCTAATATCCATATTTTAAAATTAATGTTAAGCCTACTGGTACTAGAAAATATCCTTGGCTTCCCTAACCATATAATGCAAATCATGATACAACTACCCCAATGTCTTCCTTTAAGTCTTTTATTTCTCCAGCATATAATATATAGATTATCAGTATAGCAATTCCATTTGTACCATGCATTAATATTACAGAATACAAATATGGTTTAGATAGACATATTTCTCTTGTTAAAAGTGGTGTTACTCATAAATACACTGACCTGAATATATTTTTTACTTATTCACCTATCCATTTATTATTTTATTTAGGCTTATATGCTAATCCAATTGTTATCAACTCTGTGTGGTTTATATTTCCACATTTCCAAATAGGATTAAAAATATGTATAAATATAGAGGAAAAGAAACCAAAAATCATCTATGTTCTATTCATCAAGTAAGCAGTTGTCAATAACAATTGCTACCATACTACAAGATAAAACAAACTCATAACTTATCCATTCTCCAGTCCTGATGATGTAGCAGTTTTTAATAACCTCTGTAAAATCAACAGAATGTGAATGCAATTATAGAGATGAAGGAAGTGAGGAGTTATTGGGTGGGCAGATATAATCAGAACTAGGCAATCCCAGATATACCCAGGTCCAAAGCCCTGAAAGGTTTTAAAGATGACAACCAGCACCTTGAACTGCATCTAGAAGAAATATAAACATATCTCAACATGAAGTGGAAACTTTTTTTCTAAAGGATGTAAATTATGCATCTGTAAATTACCTTGTTCCATAAAGTTGTTATACACTGAAACAAAATCTGAACTAATATAATTCTGGCAAGTTATTACCCAAGTAACTATTTATCAGGCATAAAGATAATGGGGAAAACAGAATAATTAAAGATGAATTGATGTTCAGGTTGTTAAGCACCTCTATAATACCAGCTACTATCTGTTTTCTCTATCCTCCAGCCACCATCTACATCTGATGCCAGTAATGTACAATATTCTCAAGTGTTGTAAATACAATATCTTTTCTACTCCACACATTTCATCTCTCTCCATTTTATTCTTGCTCTGGGAAATCTCACGTCCATCTCCATCTTAAAGGTGATATAACTATTGCAAAATCCATCTTTGTAGAAATAGTGCAGGTCTGTTTCCTAATTGCACATTTTTCTTGGCAGCAGTATTGTTTCTGCATATTGTAGTCTTTATACTCTTCAATGACACCCTAAAGATCAACTCATTTGAAAGAAGTTATGCTATTTTTCAGGCAGAACATCAAGGAGAAATTTATGTTAATTTAGTCACAAACGTTGGTTTTTCAAACAAAATTTCTCAATTTCTCTCACAATATCATTCTCAACATTTATCAGAATATACTGTTGATTAACATACAGCAAAGGATTAGCACTTGAATAAGATGTATTCTTATGTAAAATGTCTGAATTCGAATTTCATATTGATGTATCACCAAAAACCTAATACACAGCCATGTTTTATGAAAACCACATACTGTCAAGTATTTTATAACCATGCATACATTGATATTTTATTTATTAATCTATTTGGACAACTTCAGTGTATTTCACAACTGGGGAAGAGCATGAGAGATAACTTCGGATTTCTTTTTATTTACGTTATTAGAACTACAGCAAATCTTTATCAAATGCAAATTCAGTGGAGATTATTTTTAGTAGATATATAAGAATGCAGTCTTTGTAAATTGGAAAGGAAAAACCATATATAATATGTCAAAAAAAATATTGTATAGCATTTCTTGTTTATAATCACCAAGGACCTTTTTGCTTTCTGGAATTCAGAAAACAAAAAAAGAACTGTTAATGTAAGAATGCAAATTACAGATGGTACTACTTCCTAATCTTGAGATATTTCAAAGCTAAATATTTCAGATGATGAAGTCTAATCATTTTTAAAGCGTCAAAGTAAATATTTTTTCTATATATCTCTCTCAAGCCAACTTCTATCTCTGCTTTTCAAAATTTTATGTTTCAAATAAAATCCAACTTAAAGCCTTCAAAGTAACCAAGCTCATAACCATTTCCATTAGCTCTATGATCTCCACTTCTGCAGAGTGAATGGTGGCTGTAAGAAATATTGCTCCAAATACAAGAGTTTCAAGATAAACATGACTACCTGAAAAGCTATGTCCTCTGGGCTAAATCTTGCTAACTTTATCCATAGCATATCAATATTCAGTTGCTTTGAACATGTTCAGATGTACATTTGTCGAAATATACTTTTATTTTGCTGGAAACCTGTATCACTGCTGCACTTCCTGGAAAAGTGGGAGATAACAACTAATCGAAGGAATGAGGTTTGGGGGCTCATCAAGGGAAACTTGCCCTGCTCCTTCTGCCAAGTGGGCCTCTTGTCTTGCACGAACTCACCCAGGCCGGGATCGTCCGCTGTTGTTGCCTCCACCGCTCCATCGCCGCCGCCGTCGCCGCGATCCATGCTTAGGCGGGGGAGGGGAGGGGGAAGGAGAGGGCGGTCAGGGCCCTCCTTCCTTCCTGCCCTCCCCTGGTTAGAGCCCCCGCCGCCGCCTGTTTTTAGGACCAGGCCTTGGCCCCTCTGCAGCTACCTCCGCCGGGGTTCTGCCTATCCTTCGCTCGCCCTCCCTGCCGCTGCTGCCGCTGCCGCCGCCGCCGCCGCCGCAGCGCTACGTGGCCCTCGCCGCAGCCAACCAAGGCAGTCAGTCAGTCAACCTCACAATTACGCCAGCCCCGCCCCCCCCCCCCTCCGTTCCCGACTCGTTTTTTCCTTAAGCGTCGCTCTCTGGCTAGTCCTGAGGAAGACAACGAGTGCGCCTGCGTAGAAGCTCTCGCGCGAGAGCGCGCGGCTTTCCTCAGTTTTTTTTTTTCCTCTCAGCGATTTCTGCTTCCCCCCACCCCCACCCCCTCCCCGGGCTGGGCCTGTTTCCTGCGCGCGCATAAGCGCGAGTCCCTACCGTGAGCACCAGTTAGTCCATAGTCATCTCTTTATTTTGCTCGCCGTGCCACACACACACACACACACAAACGGCCTCGTCTCGGGCGAATGAACGCGCTCACGTTACAATGGAAAGGTTGGTTGATCAGCGCGTGCGTGATAAAAATCAATATCTGCGCGTTCGGGGGGGGGCATGCTCTTTGCCTCAGGTGAGAGCCGAGTACAAGAAAAAAAGGCGGGGTGGGGGGAGAAACAAAGCATAAAATATCCCCCGCCATAACAGAAAAACACCGGCTGTATGTGTACGCGCATGTGCGTGCGCGCTGGAAGAAGCCTCTGACTGAACATACGTGCTGAAGAATGCCCATTTTTTTCGTCGAAGCTTTTCATAAATAACATCTGATTCTGATACACCCCAAAGCCTTATTCAAAGGGCTTATTAAGATTGGTTCACGCTCTCCATTGAATAAAACAATTTTGTCTGGAATATTTTAGTAGGCGTCCTTATTAAAAGTTTTTAACGTGAAACAAAACAATTGTTAAAATGGGAAGAATTCAAAAAGAATAGTTTTGCCCACAAAAAAAACCCTAATGATTTTTTAATATGTTAGTGCTGAATTAGTCAGAAAAGGTAAATCAGAATCTAATGGCACATTTCTCTATATACATTTCTCTAGATACAGAATGAAAATACTGTACTGTTGGGGTGGTAATTGACTTGGGAAAGTTGCTCTTGAGTGAGATGAGTGATCTCTAAATTTCATAAAGCTACCGTAATTAACTAACCACATGTAGATTGATCTGTAGAGGAATTGTACAAAATACAAACAAGACTAACTTGAAGAAATAATTCAGCAACTACAATGACATTTTTAGGTTATTTGCTGAACATACTGTTGCCTAAGAAACTCAAGTACTAGAGTGACATGGAGTTTTAAAGGACCTAGTTCTTGAATTTGAGAGAAACACTCAATTCCTTTGTAAAGTGGCTTTTTCACACACACCCTACCTACATGAACCACAAATATCTCAGACAAAACCAAAAGCATTTTATTAAAACTGGTGAAATCTTCATCTAAACTGCAGAAAGAGAATGCATAAATTCAATATACAGTATGTCTTGCATCAGCAAGCCACAAATCAAACAATAAAAGATATTGATTAGATGTGAGAAAAGATAGAAACCATTAAAACATGTTGTATCTTCCCCCTTTCATTTCTTCAACAACAATTAAGAATTTCAGAATGTTTAATTGTGAGTTTCCTAAAAGAGCTGGTTTTCGCTCATCAAAGGAGGAAATGGCTTTTGCTAAAAGGAAAAATATGGTTTATCATATTACTAAAACTCATGTCTGTAACCTTTAACTGTGAAACAAAGCATCATACAGCAACAGTTTTTGAAGTTAGGTACCTCAAATAGGCTAACTTACAGAATGTATTCAAAAACTGGTATGACTCACATGAAATTTGAATTTAGCAAATGTTATAAAACCTTTTATGACATAATACAAAATATCACAAAACGTCTGCTGTGAGTCAACCCCTGGAGATTGTGCTATACAGTTCAACATAGGCTAATTCAAAGCAGATATAGCCCTGAATATTTCTCTGAATTTCAACTTTTCCTGTGAAGGCCCTACATTAGAAGCTCTGCTGTTGTTGCGACATTGAGGAATTCGGTAAGAAAATATCTTTAAAATGATGATCCAACAAATCACAGATGGTTTAGTGGTTTCCTAAACTTCAAAAGTATGCACAGACGCCATGCTGAAATACTAATATTAAAATGCTAATAACAAATAATTCCAGATAATAATACCACAACAAGCATAGCTTACCCAGCTCAGTGAAGGACAAAAATTGTGAAGTGCGTGATATTTATCTTCAATATTTTGTGTCTGACATTGTTGCCTTCAACCTGACTGGGATTTCTATGTGGCTAAGAATTCTGACAATAATTGTACAAAGACACCTATCTAGAAGGCACTCAACTTCAGGGAAGCCTGCAATATATTATTGCAGGAATAAATATTAATTTTGTAATGAAGGCTTAAGCCTATCTTATTGATAGGTCTAAAACCAATAAAAGCATTTGGATTCCTTCTTTGGATTCCATCATTTAAATAGAGGTATATTGCACAATTGTCACTGGACATATATAACTCAGTACTGGCTAGCTGTAGCCTATAGAGCCCAAATACTTCAGTCATGATTGTTGCTAGAAAGACCTAGAATTTAGAAATAGTTCAAATGCCCCAAAGTTCAGCCCCAGGGCAAAATTCTTATTATTTATTTTTTATTTAAGTCTGGGCAGTTTACAGAATATTTAAAATTTGAAAAGACAATAACAACAAGAAACTAAAAGTTAAAGATTGTTTAGTTAAAAAGTTAAAAATTTGGTTAAAAGGAGATCATCCTCACCAAAGGCATGGGTGAATAGTTCTTCAAAACACTACAGAGTGGGATCACTTGGATCTGGGGGGGGGGATTTTGTTATATAGGAATCTTCTTCTAAAGAGACTGCTTTTAAGGTCCTGGCAGAGGGCATTACTTAACTGAAGGATCTCAGACACCAACAATGTCAGATCAAGTCAACCAGGCAGATATTATGTGAGATGGGTGGATCCTCAAGTACCCTGAAGCAGATGGAGTAAGTGCAGCTTCCACAGCAAATGTATTACATGGGTATATTGAGGCATGCCCTTCACTGCTTTTATCACTGCATTCTGGACCAGTTGGAGCTTCTGGGTGGTCTTCAAGGGCATTCTCATAGAGTGTGTTTCAGTAGTCAAGCCATGAGTGACCAGAGTCCCCTGATCTAGAAAAGGGCACAACTGGCACACTCCTTAGTTTTCATGGCATAATGGTTTAAAAATTAACACTAACCTTCCTGTTAGATATTGACAGGATAGTTTTCCCTCTGGTCCACTATTTGAGTGGGAAGAATGCTTGAATACAATTCGATAGTTTCACTGACAGCCTCCTATTAAAGGGCTGGCTGTCAGAGAGGCTAGCTGCTGGATTGTAAATAATTGCTGAATAAAGAGCTGTTTTCTGAAGCCTGTCTCCAGTCTCTTCAATCCACTTATCTAACACTGGCGACGAAGGTGGGATCTCTGAAGAAGCACTGTGACCAAAAAGAGCTGACAATGAGACAATCCAGCCAGGCGGCAAAAGCGAATGGTGGCCATCTTGTGCGCCAAATTCAAACACCCGGAACTGCGGCAAGCATGTCTGCGTTCCACCTGCCTGCACCATTCGACCCAGTGAAGGAGAAATGGGGCACTTATATGACGAGTTTTGAGTGCTTCTCGGGTTGTCAGACAACTGGAAAAGAGCGCTGTTCCTGAGCCACTGCGGGCACAACGTATTCGACACCACTGAATCCTTGTCCGAACCAACTCTGGTACAATCCGTACCATGGCAAGTGCTGCAAAATGCACTAAAGACCTACTACACTCCTGCATCTTCTAAAACAGTGAGGCATTATGAATTCAGGCACCGAATGCAACAGGACGGAGAGTCTATCAATCAATATGTCGCTGCGCTACAAAAGGCCGCTGCCCACTGTGAGTTTTAGAGACTTGGACGATATTTTAATTGACCAAATTTGTGGCGTAAAAGACGACCAGCTGCAGCAGAGACTTTTGGCCAAGACTAATCTGACTTTGCAGGCTGTGTTGCATGAAGCAAGGGCAACTGAGTCATCAAACAGAACGGCCAAGTCCCTTCAGAAGCTTGCTACCGTTCCGGCAGCAACAAAACCAATCACCACCATACATAAGAGCCATCCTCAGGATGAGGAATCTGAAAGTAGCGAGGATGAGGTCTATCACATGGAAAGAAAGAGACCCACAGAGCACGAGAGTAAGAGGCAACAATGTGCCAGCTGCAGGGGTCAGCACCCTAGGGCATCCTTCCATTACAGGGATACCATCTGTCGCCGATGCGATAAAAAGGGACATTTGGCAAGAGTCTGCTGAGCGAACCTGCCCATCAGTCATCGAGCAGCTGCAGATGTGCCAAAATCAGAAGCCCCAAGACTATTTAAGCAGGAAATGTGGAAGCCAAGGTGCGAAACTGTCAACGCAAGAGCACCAGAAACAAACTGCCAAATAAGAATAGGACAGGCAAGCAACCCCTGCAGGAAGAAATTACATGTCACTGTGCAAATCGAAGGGTCGCCCTGTGACATGGAAATTGACACTGGGTCGTCGGTAAAAATCATCTCCTGGCAGGCATTGAAGGCTGTGGTCTGAAGGATCCAAAACAACCAACTAGAGCGCCAGCACTTGCGGCTTAGCGACTACCAGGGGAATCGGATCCCTGTCATCGGCTGCGGAACCTTCAAAGTCCAGTTCAACAAATTCCTGGGCGACCTGTCCTTAACAGTTGTTGGCAGAGATCTACCAAACCTGCTCGGCTTGGACTGGTTTGAGTCCCTCGGACTGGGAGTGACTGGCATCAACGCTATCACCAGCTCGTGGGCTGATGACCTGATCCGGGAGTTCCAAAATGTGTTTAATCTGGAACTCGGCAAGTATGTGGGTACTCTAATATTGTTTAGTCTAGATCCCAGGGTAGTGCCAATTCGGTTAAAGCCCCGGAGGGTTCCTTTTGCCCTCAAACCCAGGATAGACAAGGAGCTAGATAAACTGATCTGGCAAGGCATACTTGAGCCAGTTGACCACACTAAGTGGGAAACCCCTATTGTCACCCCGGTCAAAAGTGATGGTTCTGTGTGGATCTGCGCTTATTATAAGTGCACTGCTGAGGCCCAAACCATTGTAATGCACAGAGGGGCATTCAAATGTCACCGTTTTCAATTTAGTGTTAGCGTTGCCCCGGGACATCACACAGAGTGTGATGGAAAGACTATTGCAGAAAATTTCCGGTGTAGTACCATACTTCGATGATGTTTTAATTACTGCCAGTGACGAGCAGCAACTTCGTTCCCGTCTAAGGGAGGTGCTGTCAAAATTTAGGGCTGCAAGGCTCTGAGTAAAGGGCAGCAAATGACAGATCAGAGTCCCTGAAGTTGAGTTCCCGGGGTACAGAATAAATGAGGAAGGCATACATTCTACCCAAAGCAAAGTCAAGGAATTCAGGAAGCCCCAACTCCACGGAAGCAGACTGAATTGCAAGCTTTTCTGGGCTTGCTCAATTTCCATAGTGTCTTCTTAAAAAATAAGGCCACCGTTGCTGAATCACTCCACAAACTATTAGCCAAGAAGAGCCTTTGGGTCTGGGGACCCAAAGAAGCTGCCACTTTTGCTGCAGTAAAACATCTCCTTTCTGCTGACAGTTTTTAAATTCAGTACAATGGCACTCTGCCATTGGTACTGGTTTGTGACGCCTCTCCCTTCAGTGTGGGGGCTGTGCTTAGCCACCATCTCCCTAATGGAACTGAGGCCCCAGTCACCTACTTTTCCAAGATGCTATCCGGTGCGGAGAGAAACTATAGCCAGCTGGACAGGGAAGCGCTGG